GCTCAGTATATCATACATTAATTAAATGAAATAAACATAGAATATTAACTAACACCCGGTATATTGAAGAATTTTGCAAACCAAAAATAATATTCTCAAAATACAAGGAAAAGTAGCTGAAAGTAAAAGAAATCAATATAAACAGTATTTTATTCGCCTTGTGTCCAAAATGGACAAAATTAATGCTCCAAATGTATGCCAAGGCTTAAAGCAGCAACAACGCTAAACATGTAAGTAAGAATATTAAGTATGTGAACGAAGAATTCTAGTCTCTTCCCAGATTTGATTATCCTGACTAATCACCTGTTAGGCCTAATTAATTTTAGAATGTTTTAAAGTATTGCAATTGTGATGTATTTTAATGTGTGATATGATGAGGCTGTTGACGAACTGTGGTTGTTTTTTAAATTAATGAACTTTTTTTTAACTATATATTATTTTAGAAAAACTGATGATGGTGGAAAAATACACCGAAACGTATTTTAATTGATAAATAGAGACAATAAATGACAATAAAACACAGTCAGGAAAGTATATACAATTACTGACAATCTTAAGGTAATTTTCGCGAAAAATTAAAACGCTACTTTGGGTTACTCAATGAATTTTTAGGAGTTGGCGCAGTGCGACGCAAATGGCTTAGTGCGCCAACCCAACGCACTGGCGCAGTAACTCAGTTCCGTTGCTGCGAAAATGTTGATGACTTTTTCTACTTGTTTTTAGATTTGTCTTAGGGGCCTTTTATCGGTAATATTTTTAGCATTTCTTCTAAATTTCAGAATTTTCCAGTTTTAGGAAAGTTACTCTTTTTTCTAAATGCTCAATTTTCTAAAGATTTTCTTAAAAATACTGAGAATCTTAAGGTATTTTTGGCGAAAAAATATGGAATAAATTTTATTAGAACACTCGCCTCCTTCGTCGCTTTGTAAAACGTTTCGAAATCATTGTCCAGCTTTGAATTTGGGACAAAAATCAAATAATTTTCTATTAAAACACGAACAGATTCAGCGAAAGTTGGTTGCAAGCCACAAGTGTGGGCCAGTTGTTGCATCAGCGGCGTGCTTAAAGACTTTTGATCAGATCAAAGAAGAGATCAAAAAAGATGCAAGTTTGGGATTGAGATTGAAAAATTCAGCAAAAAAATTTTGCAAAATGTTGGTTAAGGCTGACGACTTGTCTTGGCATATTCCCTAAAACATTCATGTTGAGTCCAACTTTTATTTTCAAACTGTTGATGAATCTGTGCCCAGTCGTTCCAGCACGGCACTGATCAATGTTCGTTTTATGGGCATTTATGAAATTTCCAAGCTGTTCTTCCACTGTCTCATACTTTAAAGGTTTACATGTAGACGAGAACTTTTTTATATAAAAATGTTTCGTAATTTGAAGCAAAGATCGACATATTTCTTTTCGAATGCTTATAACCAGTTATAATTCTTAAGAACTTCGATAGGCTTCCAATCAAACATGGCACCATTACAAACTTATTTAAAAAAAAACTGATGATGGTGGAAAAATACACCGAAACGTATTTTAATTGATAAATAGAGAGAATAAATGACTGAAACCCAGGAATTGAAACACAGTCAGGAAAGTATATACGGTATCAAGAGTGAAACCCCAGTCGAACATTAATTAAATAACATTTTATTGGAATAAAAGTTCTACAAAGCGTGGAATAAAACTAGTTGTAAACAACGCTGCTCATATCACATCATGTTCCTGAACAAAAACTGATTCGGTATATACTTAAATGAAGAGTTTTTCGTTGTCCGACAATTCATAACTTTGAAAGGGATTTTTCGTTCGCAGAAAATTCCCTTTCAAAGTTACATCCTTAAAGTCCTAAGATACTTTGGTTGGCGTCGATCACATCCCGTCCCCATAAGGCCCTAAGGTGAAAGTGTAAGTAACAAATGGTGAAGCTGCCTAGTCCTGGTAAACTTTGATTTGGTCGTAGTCGATGGGGGTGAGATCGCGCGGTTTCCTCGAATACCGCAGTCCGATTTCGTCGGCGACCTCCTCAATCACCTCCAGCGCGTAGTCCAACTGCTCCTTGGTGTGGCCAGCCGACAGGCAGATGCGAATCCTGCCCTCATACAGAGGCGTAGCTGGATATCCCACCCCAACGGTGGCGATTTTCTTCTTGATCAGCGAGCGCACGACGCCGGCGATCTTAGAGTACAAGTAGACCAGGATGGGAACGACTGGGGAGTCTTCATTGCCATGGATGATCACTCCGATTTGGTTTAGCCTCATGCGGAAGTAGCGCGTGTTGCGAGCCAGAGCCTCAATCCGCCGCTGTCCCTCGTTTGTTCCGTCCTTTTCCATGAGGATTCTCAGTACGGCGATAATCTGGGCGGCTAGAGGAGGCGACATGGCCCAAGCGTGCGAGGAGGCCAGACTGTTCGCCCTCAGGTATGTGACCAGCTCGCTCGCTCCCGCTATGTATCCGCCAGCGCTTCCGAAACTCTTCGTAAACGTTCCCATCAGAATGTCGATGTCTTTGGGGTCGCACTCGAAATAGTCCACTACCCCCCGGCCGTGCTTGCCCATCGCCCCAATACTGTGCGCCTCGTCCAAGTAGAGGTACGCCTTATACTTCTTCTTCAGCGCAATCACTTCCGGGAGTTTCACAATGGTGCCTTCCATGCTATACACTCCTTCCACCACAATCACTATCTTCTCCCAAGGTTTGAAGACACCGTCTGCCTGATTGGGTTGGCCGAAGCAGATGGCCTCCCTCAAAAGGGTTTCCAGATGTGCCATGTCGTTGTGCTTGAACACCGAGACTGTGGCCCCATTTACCTTGATGCCCCAGATGAGGCTGGCGTGGTTCTTCTCGTCGCTGATCACCAAGCACTGAGCATCGATGATGCTGGGCATGTTTAAGGCATTAGTGGCATACCCCATGCCGCAGGTGATCGCGTCCTCCACGCCCAAATACTCGGCCAGGAGCTGCTCCAGCTCCTGGTGGATCTTTACAGTACCGTAGCGCGTTCTCGAGCCCCCGCTACTGATTCCATAGCGATAGAGCGCCGCTATAGCTGCCTCAGCACAAGGCCCGGAAGCTTCGGCAAACCCCAAGTAATTGTACGAGGCTAGATTAAGGCACTTGGTTTGCGAGCCGGTGAACTCGAAGGTCCAGCCGCAGTCTTTGGTTACGCGATCCTTCAGAACCACTTCACTGCCCGGCACGCTGCAAATCGGGTAGTTCCAACAGTCTCGTATTCTCCTGTACACGTACTGGGAGTAGAACATTGAGAATCGGTCGAACAGGGGTGGGTACCCCGAACGGAACACTTCGTCGTTCACTTTGGGCGGGTAGAAAAACCTGGTGCAGAACTGGCTGACAAAGCTGAGCAACATGATCAGAGAGAAGCTGATCTGAGTGAGCACAGCGGTCAGGAACGGTGGCGGTTCGAAGGACTCTTTTAACACTTTGTGCTTGGCGGAATGGGGCTGGCTGGAAGCAGTTGGCGGCCAACCAGGGCCAATGTTACCCAAATTCGCCTGGACTTCCTGATAGCAGTCCCCCTTTCCCCGAATTTCCGCTTCAATCGTCATTTCAGGCACAATCACTGCTTCAGAGCAACTTCGAAATGTAAATTTTACTGAAGTTTACAATTTAAATGACGCTAATCTAACCTCTTCGATGTCACCGCGAGCATTCAAATCAGCCGATTCAAACTACAGGAAAAAATTATGCACAGTAGTTTTTTCCGCAAAGACTCCACCCAGCTACGTTGACGGTTGCGAGAACTGTGCCAGTCAGCGTTGCCAACAACGATACACATAATCCAATAATCTAAATAATAATACTCCTGACAATCCATTAATCTAACTGGGAACACGTTGAATAAAGTGATAAATTTAGGGTAAACTGCATTATTATAACACTTATCGACAACACCGCCACATTCCCAGCTCGGGTTAATACGTGAGCCGCCGTATTGCTGTTTCCCTCTTTCCCAGGCGGCTCAAGTCATAACGTCAGTCGGAGCTTAGGGACTCAATTTTATTGGACAAACTATAGTCATTTGTCAGCCACAGGTTCCATGCATGATACAATGAATGTATTCATTGTATCATGCGTTTATGTTATCCTTAGTATATTCCCTAGGAACCTTGGTGGCAGGCTATTTGGCAGTGACGTCATTATTTCAGGCGCCACATGCGTGGTTGCCAGCTTGAGCGTTTGCTCCCGATTTTTTTGTTCAATCAGATATAGCCAATCAGTAATAGCACGGTTTTAGAGAAGTTTCAAAAACTATTTTCAGTTTTTATTATCGTTAATTTAAACATTTGGAATTAGTATTGCGCAATTTAAGTATGCAAATTTTGTTCGAATATATAAATTATCGGCAAATATTCATGACTTTTAGGATCATGATCGCAATGCTAACTGTAAAATTATTGCTAAAATATAAACATTAATTTTCGTTCTTCCACTTTTAAACAGACAGTCAACCCAAAAAAGTTATCGCCCAACGTGGGGCTCGAACCCACGACCCTGAGATTAAGAGTCTCATGCTCTACCGACTGAGCTAGCCGGGCTTGCTTTAAAAAAATTTCCATACCGTTTTAACTTAATTTCATCCTATCCGCATTAAACTTCGATTTGAACTACAAGAACAATTAACTAACAGAAAAAAAGGGTTAATTTCTAGTTTATCAAGCAGTCACGTTCGAAGTCAACGATTTACTCGTTCACCTGACTGATAAAATATTTTTTCCTTACTACTTTTTTTAGTGGTGTTTGCTGCAAGGGCGGACGCAGGGCCGGGTCATGGGGGNCCCCCCATTCAATTCTCTAGCCAACGATGCCAAAACGAATTCTCTGGCTCCAATGGTTCTTGAGAAACTTCGAAAAAAGCAGCGACATGTTCAAGTGGATTTTGCGACTCAAAAAAAATTACGCAAATCTAAAACTTCTTGAATTCAAGCATTTTTTGAGAAAACTGCCAACATTTCCTTATCGATGGTTCACTTGCTAAAAAGGCCATTTACTTCTCTCTAGGATGACGTACAAAAGAGCGTTCTTGCTCATTTTGCCTCCGAGAAATGAGCGAAAACAGGTCGGAAAACATTAAATGTTGGCATAATCTTGCACCTAAGTGTCTGATATTCATATTTCGCTTTCTGGGTCAAAACTACTCGAATTTCCTCACTCACGTTGTTACGACTGAATCGACTTTTCAATTCTCTATCCAACGATG